GATATGAATAGGAATGAGGTGTAGGGTGAAAAATTAGAGCACAGAATGACCTTAAGCAAGGGATAGGCATAGGATAAGGTCAGAAAGTAAAAAAAAATATGAAGTTTTTCATTTTCATTGCTCACATCTCATTGGTAATCTCATTGGACTGTGTAGGCTTGGCGTTTTCTTCCCTCTGCAATAAAAAGACCAATTGAAAAATATGAAGTTTGTTTTGAACAATAAAAATAGAAGATCCGTTTGAGCAATGAAAAGAATATATTTTAACAATGAAAAGATCAATTTACACCTCAAAAAAATTTGAACAATAAAAAGAAAAATTTGGACAATGAAAAGAGTAAAAGAGTAATAAAACGAGTAATGCATAGAGTAGTTTGAGCGATAAAAAGACCAATTTGAATAATAAAACAATGAAAAAAATAAACAATGAAATATGCAAATCAGAAGTATTAAATACGTGTATATTTAGGATATATGGAACGCTTTCACTTGTTTCATGTCATTTAAAGGTCATCCTTCGCAGAGTCAACATGAATGGTATTTATACTGCCAAGCCATATGCTTGTCACCAGTGTGACAAATGCTTCGGACGGAAGTTTAATCTAGAGAGGCACATCATTACGGGTAACCTCCACTAGAAACTCCTCTGAGAAAACTGCTTTTCTAACTGCCTTGTGGTCAGCCCTTTTATCTGTTGTAATCCTTCATCTAAACAGTGACTGTGTGACCCCCAAGAGTTTTACGACCACAGCTCCACATTGGGCAGATACTTGGACAGTGCTGTGTATGTTCCTCTTCCATTCATAGAATGGGGGTGTGCTTATCAGTGATTGTGTAGGGAGAAGGCATTACAGTGTTTGTGGGGGAGGAAAAGTCAAGAGGAATATTCTGGCGAAAACCCACAAAATCAGGTTAAGTCTAAAAACCCAATCCACGTGTCCCAGGCAGGATCAAACCCAGGTCACAGCGGTGTTTTTAACACCGGCACAGGTTGACCTTGACTGTAGAGGG